GATTTTATTTTATGCATTCTCAGTGCCGTGTCGTTGAGGACAACGTTATTATAAGTGTGGGGTGGGGCTGGTTGTTGGTTGCCTGTAGATAAGTGTCGTGCTGTTGGAATTGATTTTAAGATTGCTTTTGTCGGTGTCGGTGTTGTCTGATAGTGTCGAGTCTTTCTGGATATCGGTTGTTAGTATGCTTAATTTATCTTTTATGCCAATTCTTGAACTTCTTGATGTGTGCAAAATTTTGGAGTCCTTGTGTGCTGCATATTGATTGGCTTGATTGTTCTTGATGATCATGTGGCATTTATGGCCGAATGCACAAGGGTTAGCACTAATTGACCTTGATTATTGTGAGTTTTGAGCCTATGAGCATATAACTAATATGATGCTCCCTTTCTTGACTGTGTGGTGTCATAATGTGTTGATATTTCTAGAACTTGCCTTGTTATACACGTTTTTGTTTGATTCTTGATGAATATGGATGCATATGATTGATAAGGGTAATTAGGAATGAGCCTATTTGTTGTGGCCTTTTCTTCGTTGTGCCGAACCCGAATAATGACCATTAGAAAGCCCGTGTGAGCACAAAGCCTGTTTATTGAATAATAACCACATTACAAGCCATGACCCCTCTTTGTTGATATCCCATTTGAACCTTTGAACTAAAGTAATTATGTGATTTTTGTCTGAGATTGAGCAAGGTTCTTTTGGGTTTGGGGATATATATGGAGTCGTTAATTGGTGTTTGGGGAAGTTATGTGATTTGAGTCGGTTGGAAGTTGCGAGCCATGTGAATAGATGTGTGTTTTGTGTCTGCCTCTTTAAAAAAAAAATAAAGAAGAAGAAGAAGAAGAAGAAGAAACAACAGGAAAGCTTGACCTGCTTCCAAAAAACATAAAAGAACATAAAAAAGAGGCTGACTTATGTCCTGTGAGGTTGGGAGAAGGTATTAGGCATGAATGAGTTGAAGTGATCTTGTTGGCAGGAGGGTGTTTATTTCATTATTATGAATGTAACTTTGGTCAAACATCTGTTGGGTTTCGAGCTCTTTTCAGACATGGTTACATGATTGTTTTGGTTAGATTGACTTGGCCTGAAATTGTTATTCTTATTATTCTTTCTACCTACTACTTTGTTTCTCATTGAGACTGCAATCGTTGTTACCCATACCCGCCATTATAACCTTGTGATACGCCCTTTGATTTTTGTGGATTTATGTTCATTCTTGAATAGTCGGGCGTGATGCAATGGCAAGCATATGGTAAAGATTTTTTACGTTTTGACTTGAGCATTCACTCATATATATATATATATATACTAGATGGCTTTACGCCGTGCACGCACGGCGGTCTAACACCCGGTGTAAAAAAATCCAAACGCACCTTTTATCTTGTGACAAAAAATCAATACCTTGTTCCAAACATAACAAAATGAGCATCATGTCACGCAATACCATTACAAAATTTCAGAATGCAATTATATTGACAACATCCAACAAAAATTAATCAAAATAACAAGCCCGAACACTAAAACTTGAGGCCACATTGCATCAAACACCTAGTTAGCATCTCTAACGTCTTCCATAAATTAAAAATCCTCAACTCAAACAACAAGAGTTACCTCCCGATAGAGGCCATGCCGCTCCAGGGGAAACTTGTCAATCTGTTTGGGTTCAACTTTATCCCCACGGCCCCTCATCCACCTTCCAGTAGATCTATGTCGTTTGCGGGGCCAGAATCTGCCACCTTACTTTGTCTCTTCAAGCCAATAGGTACTCTTCCTCACAGTCAGAGGCACAAAACCTCAGTTTTGAAAAACAAAAATCCTTTTAGCTATTTGTGTGAGTATTACAATATTTTATTTCATTTTTTATAACTCGAATATCTTTTTCCTGATTAGCATAACAAAATCATGGTAGAACCTCACTGAGGATACACAAAACCTCAATTTTACGTTGTTGTGGACTATAACTCGGCTCGCCACAGAAAAGCTCATATTCCGACAATTGGCTCAAGCAGCGCAATAAACACTAAAGAATGAGGCACTGCAAAATAACAAATCCAGACAAGAGATATTTTCATTAGTAAGTCGCTATAGGTTAACATTATAAGATGCTTTAAAACACCTCCGACAAGCAAAAAACTTACTTAAATGACAATTAATGACTATCATCTTCAAAAGGCAAAAATAATTTTATCAATTGTAATGCATGATACCAAGTCGGGGGAACAAATATCAATACAACCAGCTCACTTGTGAGCTAACTGAACTTATAGAGGCAAATGAGTAGTTGTGGCTGTGAACATCAATAAAAATCGGGTGAAATTAAAAATCACCATAACCATTTGGTTTTAGTAGCCAGGACATCAATCAAAATCAAAGTGAACTATCAATGTCAATAACTCATAAACAAATTACCATGTCAACTTTTATTTTTTTTCTACAAAAAAAAGATCTTAAGCCCAAAACTCAAACAACACTATCTGCCATGAACTCTCTATATTCATATCAGTATAAACATGTAACATACACTCACACACCGCACAAGGATAAACCTATCTGCCAAGTTCAACCTTTCTTTGTTCTCTTTAAGGACAAAGCCAATAATAATAAAAAAAATTAAATATAAGTTTGCAGCTAACTTTGCTTATAGTAGCATTTCTTAAAACATAATATAAATATGATTCCTAATTTTACGTGTAAGAAAACATTTCTCATTTTATCCTTCTTGTATGTGAACATATATAAATTGGTTGCTAATGCTTACAGAATAACCAAGAGCATGAGAAGCCAAAACAATCTCCTTGGAAGCACATTTCTTAAAAGAATTGAGGCATCTGTATAGGAAAGTTGCAAAACTAAAACCAAAGAAAAAAAAAAATCATTTCAAAGTCGATAAATTCATGTTGACTTAGAATTAATTGATTCTTCATTTTTTTAATTAAAGGAAACTTACCTAAGAAAACTCTTGGTTTTTTACCTCTATGTAGAATATAAGGCTCCAGCGGCATCTGTAACTGGCGACATCCATAATCATGACCAAGATGCGGCCAGAGGAAACCGAAAATAAAAAGGAAAAGTTCAGAAAAAAAGAAAGAAAACAAAAACAAACGCATACCGCTCGATGAAGTCCCCTAAATTCTTTCAAAATCAACTGGTGCTTAATTTTTCAAAGCTCCAAAATTATCAAGATTTAAATACAAGTCTTAGTGTCAAAAGGGAAACATGAGAATATAGCAAAATCAAAGGGTCTGATACAAAAACTATACCAAAACAAACTACACAATGCAAAAATTACAACATAAACGGTCACAATACAAGGACCTAACCAATCCTCGAGCTTTACCTGAAAACTAAATTGGAGTAATACATGGTACAATTCAATGATCTATTCATAAAATCAATAATTTCTAAATTTATACAATAGTGTACATTTTTTCTTTATTTTTAAATCAAAATAATTTGGTTGATATAGAAGCCGACGTTAAATTGGCAGGTGCACAAGTCATTGTGGGTTTTTCTCTCGATGGATCTTATTCTTGCATCGAGCCATACCTACAGCATAAAAAGTGACCGATGAACAAGAAAAAGCGGACAACATGCTGTGTGGAGAAAAAAAAAACTTTGAATAAAGATGTTTGACATGCTTAAAATAGTGGCAGAAGTTTGATTCAATCACATTCCTAGTTATAAAGAAAGAAAGAGAAGCAAAAGAATGCATTAGTGGGACTTACAGGCAGGGTATTTGTGTGATTTTCAGAGGTGTAAGCAGTTGAAAGCACAGAAACGTCGATTCCAGATCTTAGAAATGAGGTGCAGTCAGAGAAGGGGGCCTCCCTTGACCTTACACGGAGGTTTGGCATGGGAATGACCTCTATCTATCACCTCTCCATCATCAACAACATGTGCCGTGATGCTTCCATCAATAATGTATAAACGTTCCACAGGCTGATAATGCCCATCGGAAAACTATTTATCTTTTCCATAAATCACTTGCTTTTATTACTCACCACAAAGAAGATATTTATACGCATAAGAAAAACAAATTGTACATACCCGATAAGAACTCCATCGGAGCTACTATTGTCGTCGTCCGCGGACGTACCTTCATCAGCCCAACCATCGCCGCTCGTCAACTACCGGGGATCGGTCGATCGGTCATCAGCATCTATGTACACACGCTGTCGATTGGAAAAACAAAGTGCGAAAATTGGGGTGAATTTTTTGGGAGAAAAAAAAAAGAATAAAGAAGGAAAGAGAGACCGGAAGATGATAAAATTGGAGGGGCAAACCTTTCTTCTTAATCTATTTCAATCAGTAGAAAAATAAGAAAAACAAAATCGTACACACCTGATAAGAACTCCATCGGAGCTACTGTTGCCGTCATCCACAAACGCACCTTCATCAGCCCAACCACCGCCGCTCGTCAACAACCGGGGCTCGGTTATTTCTTATTATATTACTCATTGCATCTGCAGGTTCATTGCAGAACTAAATGAGATTTGGCTCATGAAGTTGTGGATGAGGCTGGACACTGGAAAAAGAATCTTAGCACTCAATATGTGGAGCTTTTTGATTTTCTGCCCACTGTAATCCAAGAACAATAGATGCTCGAGAGAGATCCTCATGGAAATGTCCAGGTTGAGTATTTTCTATCCGAGCTTAAGCTTCTAGGACTCTTAATTGCGGTCATGTTTTGCATGGTTTGGATGTTATATTTTTTTTCAGAATCCACCTGAATTTCAATTTTTTGTAAATTTACAGAGTGACACGCATTTTTTCTTTCTTTCATTCTCAGCTTTCTTGTTTTCCTATTTTTATTTTATTGGTTAATCAAGCCAAACCCCAAAGGACCAACATTTGTGTATTTTCCTAAACTAAATATTAAAGTGGGAACACAAAACATACCTATTGAGCAGCATCCTCAGTAAACCGAGCATCAAAAGGGGCATTCGAGCTGGGATGTTCCGAGCCGTCTCCAGCTCCCGACCCTTGCTGCAATTCGATCACCAGACACCTAACGGCTTTGCTAATCTGCTCCAAACGGACGACACTAATGGGCGGGAGACCACTCGAGCTGGGCTGGCCCAGCTTATTAGTGAAGTGATAGGGCTCGTGGCCTCGTCGACAAGACACTCAGACCCTATTCTCTGCTTGACGGACTCGACAAATTCCTTGGCTTGATCACACGCAACTCGAAACAGCTCCCAACGTTGCTTGAAGTTTTCGAGGACAGCATCGGTGGCCGGAGTCTTCTGCCCGCCGGAAGTTTCTTTTGCCTCTAAGGTGCTGGCGGCTGCCAATATGATCTCTTGATATGCGCTGTTCAAGGATTCAACTATGTTGTCCATGTGTGACTACTGCAAATTACACAAAACTAAAAGATAAATCAGGAAGAAAAAAAAATATTAAAATGCACCACAAATTCCACAATTTCACCGAAGCAATTAACCATCCAATGATTTCAATAATAAAAAATTAACAAGAGTTTCCCTAATCCTTTAGCTCTCAAGCTACCATTACAATGAAAAAAAAAAAACCTTACTTCACAAGGTATTAGGGATTACATTTAGGCGATTGGGGCTAGACGATAAGGAAGTGGGCCTATGAACTAACCTCTTTGGAGCTTTTACTGTGACACTGAGTTCGCCGTGACAGCTGCGGATCGCCGTCTGCCGACAGGAGATGCGTAAGAGATTCCTGTTCTGAAAAATTAGTGTAAATTTTTTGGAAGAAAGAAAAAATAAAAAAAAAAAAAAAAAAAAAAAAAGAAGGAAGGAAAGAGATGATAAATTTGATCAGCAAAGGGAAAGGTGGCTTTCACTTTCTTTGACTGAGCGATTGTTGCGTGTGTATGTGGAATGATTTGTTGTGAAGTGATAGGTCGGTCACCGATTAAAAAAAAAGTGATAAGTCGGTTGTATTTGTGTTATTTATTTAATTGACCACAATAACTTTTAAAATACACTAAAATTGGGACACGTGTCGAGCAGAGAAGTAGACGAAAACGGACACGTGTCGAGCAGGGAGATGACCTTACTTTCCCTTATAAGATATAAGAGAGATATTGCTTTTATTTATATTATATTTTAATTTTTAAAGTATTAACATGTTACGTACACTAGTGAGAATGTTACACGAAAATTTCCTAACTTAAAATATTTTTGCAAAATTTTATTTAACAATGTATTAGCTAGTGATCCATTTACATTAATATAAATAACATTTAACATATATATTTACTTTTTAATATAAAAAACTTTGTAATTTTAGATAGTGAGCTAATATATCCCTGGCTTTTGATTTGTTTCCTACAGTTAGCTATTGAATTGTAAATTTATTTTAAAAGTTGATAACTTTTATATTTCTTATCGGTTTTACATATATAATATATTAAATTAATCATCTTTTGATGATCTTCGATTTGATATCCATATTGTATATATTAAATAAATAAATTATATTTATCTTTATAATAATAAAAAAATAATAATATTTGCTAAAATTCAATAGAAAAATAAAATTATTTCTCAATTGATATATTTATGTTTAATCTAGTTATATGTTGTAAGTTAAAAATTATTATAATATAATACAAGTAAGTCGCACAAATAAAAAATGTCATACTAAATATATTAATATAAATATTTTTAGAAGGTATTTAAATTTCCAACTACCTTTTCTCAGTAATTTTAGATTTTAAGAAAAAAATTAGCAAGCACCCGTGTAATACACGGGCGTTGTACTAGTTAATATTATTTATTGATGTGATTAATTTAAAAATATATAAGTAAATCTAATGTTTGTTAGGAATGTTATAGATATCGATATTTTAGGTACAAATATATGATATATATATATATATATATATATATATATATATGTGTGTGTGTGTGTGTGTATGTGTGTGTGTGTGTGTGTGCTTGTGTGTGTACAACTATATGATATGCATATCTTGATATGCAAAAGAAATTTTTATGTGATTTATTACCTTAATAAATCAGTCGCAATTTACTAAATTGTATCTTTAAAACATAGCATAAAAGATTTAAATAGTTTTCAGAATTAGTAAACAATATTTTTGGCAGGAAATAGTTACTATTTAAAAAATAATCAAACCTTTTTATATAAACTAGTATGAATCTCGTGCGATGCACGGGTAAGAGATATTCATTAATATTTATAAATTAAAATTTCTCATTAAATAATATGTATATATTAAAATATATAAAATTAATATATAATAAAATTTACTTATATTAATTTATTGAAAATGTTATATGAAATTTAAATTGAGCAAAATTGCATAAATTATTTCTATTTAAAATTAATACACAGACAATGCAGTGCACATAAAACTAATAAATTACATTATATCCATTTCGAAGTAAAATATCGGTCTGCAAGCGGGTAAAAGACTCTATGGGAGAGGAAGGGATGGATCAAAGTTTCAGAACCGAGAAAAATATACAATTAAGAAGAAGGATAACAAATTTCCTTTCTTAATATATTTTTATACTAATAAATATATAGATATTTCAGTTTCAAAATATCCCTATTCAAAAACTCAATTTCTACATAGTATTTTTTTTAAAAGAAAAAAAAAAACTACTCCTTAGTAATTAATATTAATATACCTTTTTTCCATTCTCGTATTATGTGGATTATGCAATATTAATTTGTCTTTATTCATCCTTGTACTATGTATACTAGTACAACGCCCATGTATTACACGGGTGTTTGCTAATTTTTTTTCTTATAATCTAAAATTACGGAAAAAAGGTAGTCTGAAATTTAAGTACCTTTTAAAAATATTAATATTATTATATTTAGTATGACACTTTTTATTTGTGCTACTTACTTGTGTTATATTATAATATTTTTTAAGTTACAACATATAACTAATTTAAATAGAAATATATCAATTGAGAAATAATTTTATTTTTGTAATGAATTTTAGTAAATATTATTATTTTTTATTATTATAAATAAATATAATTTATTTATTTTATATATACAATATGGATGTCAAATTGAAGATCATCAAAAAATGATTAATTTAATATATTATATATGTAAAACCAATAAGAAATACAAATGTTATCAACTTTTAAAATACATCTACAATTCAATAGCTAATTGTAGGAAACAAATCAAAAGTCAGGGATATATTAGTCACATAGTGACTCACTATCTAAAATTGCAAAGAATTAAAGGGTTATATTAGTACAATTCATATTAAAATACCTAAGTTAGCTAAATAATATTTATGAAATGCCCGAACCTGAATTATTAATTATTAATATATAATATTATTTGTCCAAACCTAATTACAAAGCATGATTCTTCGCCAAGTAACATTCTGAAGCACCAGAAGCAGCACGTAGGCTCAGCGCATTTGGGAATTATATATAGGGAGGATTTGTATCAACATGATTTTGTAGAAATGTAATACTTGTAGAAAGGTATTAGTTTATATTTTAATATCTTGAAAGAGAAAAGGTCAATGATTTTAAGGAAAAAAAAAACAGCGAAATCGAAACGATTTTTGTTGCATAAGTGTAGTTTGTAAAAATTATATGTTAAACGGGTTTGATTTTGATATCTCATTAATTTTTGTTGCATGTATTTTTTTCTCTACGAAAACTAATTCGAGTTGATATGTTAATACGGAAGCCCAAATATATTTCTCTTTGCATTAAAAAATGATATAAGCTGTGGTAACACAAAACCTCCCGACCGGCTTGGAACCCGGGTGATCGCCTTCCTTTCCGCCGGTTGAACGTCGTGCACCTACAAAGAACTCTCACACCGGAGGGGTTTTCCGGTGAAGAGTCTCCGATGCTTAAGTCAGTGTTTATCCAATCAATTCTCAGTAATAAAAAATGGAATGATCGTGTTGAACAAGAAAGGCTCACCCCCTTTATATAGGGATGAGTTACCTGACCTAGGGCTGCCCAGTTTTGATGAGCTGTCTGCCCGGACTGCCCGCCCGTACATGTCGTATGCATGTTGTCAGAGGTATCCGTCGCCACTATCGTCCGCACCAATCCTCTTTGGACGCGTGTCCTCCTGCACATGGGGTAGGCTGTCAGAGGCGGTTATTGCTACCAGCCAATGCTTCCTCAACACGTGTCTCTTTGCCCATGGGGTAAAGATTCTCCTGGAATTCCGTTAGAAGGCTCCTCACGCGCTCGCGACTTGGTCATTCCGCGTGATGCTCACTCCTCGAGGTGTTCGACCTGTCAGGGTTGACTAGTCTGCTCGATCATTCGTCTGGTCGATCAATAGATCGCTCGACCATATTTCTGGTCTCGACCCCCCTTCCTTTTGCCGTCCTTTTTCCCTTGTCTGACCTCCTGAACCGGCCGAGTGGGGCGGTTTGACCTCGTGTATATAATATCCCATATCATCTAGTCCCCCCCACTCTGGTCGAATCTGAATGACTCGACCTAAGAGTGAATTCTCACTTTATCGACCGTTGGGGTGTCTGGCCATCAAATCTCGACCATATTTGGAGGTCTCCCGCTCATTCTTTCAAATAAATTTCCATTAATTGTTAGAGATAAAGTTGTCAGCCTCCCGTCATGTCTGTCGCGCCTGCTTTATTGCCGCGTGTCCCTCCTTTCTGCGCGTGTCAGGTACTCTTAATGACGACACCCCCTCGCATACCGCGCCTTTCTTGAGTACCGTGTAAGTTAATGCTGTCTACCGTACGATCTTATTTTGATCTAACAGTCTTCATCTTATCTCCTCTCCATAGTATAAATTGGGCACTTAGTGGATTTTTAGAATTTTTCCACCCTAACTGCTTTCAAAACTCTTCGCATCTGAAATTCTCTCTGCAAGGAGCTCTTGTTCTTCCGGCGACTTCGCTCACGTCTTCCGAACTTCCATCTCCTGTCAGTTCCCGGTTATGAGTAAGTCCCTCTGCTTTTGAATTCGTGTTCTCTGTAATTCTACCTTGTGTATTCGTGGATTTCGGTTTTGAGCATGCTCGACTTGCTTGCTTGAATTCATTTGAATTAGCGTGTTTTTGTGTCGGACGCATGTCTTGGGGATTTTTATCTGTCGGTTAGGTGTTGTAGATTGTACTTTCCCTTTGAGAATTTTCAAAAATTTTTATCTCCGTATCCTCCTCTGGACTTTAAATCGTCCTCCCAAGAACCCTAGTTTTTCCTTCTCCCTTCTCCCTTCACGCCAGCTCCCTCTTGATATTGTTTTCTTTTGTTTTGTTTTTTCAGACTCTGAGATTTCCTTCGATTCAGTTGAAATATTGCCCTCTGCTCTCGAAGTCGTCCCTCTCTTCATTCTCCGCCCCGGTGAGACCGTCCCTACCCGTGTTTTTACA